CTCTGCCCCCGGCAGCTACCCTCTTTACGACGGTACAAACCCTTGCCATAGTGAGACCTGCCGTGAATTGCATCGCGCTTGTCCCCCGCGGTTGGCCACCTCCCGACCCCGCCTGTTGGCCACCTCCCGACCCCGCCTTTACACAGCCGCCCCAACCCCGCCCTCCCCACCGCCGCCCTCCCCGCGCCGCCCGCTCTCCCCGCGCCGCTCTCGCCACCCTCCCCCCCCGGCCCTCGAAGGCGGCCGACCGCAAGGACGCCTCGCTGCTCCCGCGCAAGAACTGCCTCCCCAAGCACGCCTCGCACACGCGCACGATGGGCGTGTCCGCCCTCCTCGCAGCGGCGCTGGCCTTGGGCTGCTCCGCCCTCACCCTCTGGCCTGCCGGTGCGCACTGCGGAGGGAGGGCGGGGTGGGGGTGGGCATCTGCTCAGCGCCTTACATGCTAACGCCCAGTCCCCCTCGTACGCGCAGGCGCGGGCGCCGCGCTCCTCGCGACCAACCTCCTGCCGATGCCGCTCGCGGCTCTCCGCTCGGACGCCATCGTGCACGAGATGGAGACGGCAGACACGATCATGGGCGAGGCGCAGAAGGACTCGGCCGAGGGCTCCACCGCTGCGGCTGGCGGCGAGAGCTCCGTCACGTTGAAGAGCATCATGGCCGAGTTCGCGGCGTTCAAGAGCGACATGCAGAAGAAGGACGAGGCGTTGGCTGACTTCAAGGAGGAGACGCAGAAGAAGGACGAGGCGTTCAAGGAGGAGATGATGAAGAAGGAGCAGGAGATGAAGAAGAAGGACGAGATGATCGCCGAGCTACTCGCCGCGCTCAAGAGCAAGACGGACCACAAGCAGGTCCAGATGTCGGCCGGCGGCGAGGTGGTCGAGCTCGTGAGCGCGGGGGACCACAAGGCGCTGGAGGCGCGCGTGCAGGCTGCTGAAGAGCGCGTGGAGGAGTACGAAGCGCGGCTCGCCGCGCAAGACGCCAAGATCGGCGCGCTCCGCGACAAGCCGGCCCCGCCCAACCCGCCGGCGGCCGCGGCTCGCCCTCCGTCAGCGGCGCGGCGACAGCTCTCCTCCGCGACCGGCGACAAGACCGAGTTCGCCATCACGGGGAGGACAGCGACGCTCTCCTTCAACAGCCGCACGCCCGACATGACGCCGACCAGCCTGACCGGCGAGGGGGACGGCAAGCTGACGTGCAGCGGCGAGCTGCACGCGACGGACTTTGTCACGGCGGACGGGGAGAGTGTCACCGAGCGGATCGAAGCGCTTCGCGGAAATTTCACTGAGTTCGTCACGGAGCAGTTGAAGGACGGTGTCTCACAGGGGCTCGCGAGCGTCAGAGAGGAGCTCGAGGCGGTTCGGAAGTTTGTGGGCATTGTGCCGCCGTGGACGCCGCCGCCGCCGCCGCCGACGCCGCCGCCGTCACCGCCCATGCCGCCTCCTAATATGCCGGGAATCGCCTTTCAGTCTGCTGCGCTACATTCGGTTGACGGTGTGACACCAGTTGTGTACACAGTGCCCGCTCTCAGCCCACCGTTCACTCTGCTGGCCACCTTGACCGCGCCACCTTCGGCTGCAAATGGAGACGAGCGAAACTTCATGGGCATCGGAGCAGGGCTGAGCAAGGAGCAAGTCGTCGAATTCAGGATCCATCGCGATGGCCTCTTGGAATATGGCGAATACACGGAACTTCCGTCATGGACTTCCGTGAAAGCCTCCTCACCCTACCTCTTCGACGGTGTGCAACACTACGTGGCGGCCACCCGGAGCAGCGCGGGCACAGTCGTGCTTTTCGTTGATGGCACTCAGGTGGCAAGCTCAAGCAGCTTCCCTGCCTTCCCAACGGGATTGGACACCAGGATGTACACCGGGAGGCCGCCGCAATTTTTTCATAACAGCGGGGTGGCTGACCAGGTCTTCCTCGGGGAGATCGCACACCTCGCCATGGCAAGCAGCGTGCTCTCCGCATCCGAGGTCAGAGACTTCCTCCCGCCGCCGCCGCCTTCGTCGGACGGAGCATAGGCACAGCAACTTGTAGAGCACAGCAGCATTTGTGCGCATCGCATTGAGGCACGTTCTCTGGGTCGCCTCTGGGCTGCTGTGGGTCTTGTGGGGTGCATTTGGATAGGGGTTTGGCCCCTCTGTGGGTTCTTTGTTGTGGTGGGGTGGGTGCATTGCTTTCTGGGATTTGGGGCCCCTCTCTCTGAGTTACTTTCTGGAGGTCTAATGCTCGTTATTGTGCGGGCTGCGGCTTCGCTGCGCGCTGCCGCTGGGAGAGTCAGCCCAGCCCCACCCCCACTGGAGCACTGCCCAGTGCCCACTCTCGACTCTGCGCGGCTACGGGACCGGCCCCAGCTTCGGCTGAGGGTGAGCGCACGATGACACAACCCACAGGAATAAATACTTGTGTCGCTAATGTTCGAACAAGCGGTCGTGTCGTGCACCTCGGGAGTTGGGATGCCACACGCCTGTCTGATGGCCGCGCGAGGCCAAATTGGGCGTTCCCAGCGCCCTCTCGGCGAGAGCGAACGGGCTACGCATCGTTGGGAGCGTGATTGAGAGGGAGGTGGTCGTGAGCCCACTTGCGCGGTCGCGCGAGTCAGAGGAGAGTACTGTGTGTGAGGCGCGCAGGAGGCGAGGGTGGGCGCGCCGGCGGTCAAGCCACCGAACGATTCGACGTTGTGCAGCTCCGCGCTGGCGGGCACGACCGAGCACATGCTGTCGGCGGCGGTCGCGCGACGAGAGAGAGCCGCAGGAGCCCTCTCAGGACCAGGCGTGCGAAAGCGGCGATGAGCGGCGCCGCGAACAGCCACGCTACCCAGGCCCGCGACGCACGCTCCTCGCCAAGCTGGCGCCCCTATCGCTGATCCCGGCTTGCCGCGCCCCCGCAGAAGCCGGACCGTGCTCTTCCCTGTTCTGCGAGGCTTGGAGCGCAGCTCCTCTTTATACGCACCGGAATGTACGAACTCGCGAAGGTCCTTTTGCTCTGCGCACTGCCAAGCGTGTTCTCGTTCGTGGAACGTTAGTGCCAGTGCGCGCCAGTCCCGTGCCCGGAGCGGTGTTGTAGGTAAACCCTTGTAGAGAGAGAGGATGGTTCGTTGTAAATTGGCGGTTTTCGAGATTCGCCTCGCAGATCACCCGTTTTTCAGATCACCCGGCGTGAGCGATTTTGCGCCGCGCAGATCACCCCCACGACATACGGCGAAAAATGTCCTGTAGGAAATCGAAATGTCGTTTCCAGATTACCCAACACGGCGAAATGTCGTTTCCAGGTTACCCGGCTCGCGAAATTTCTTTTTCCAGATCACCCGGTTTTGAGATACATTCGCCTCGCAGATCACCCGGCGTTTTCCAGATCACGCGGCAGATTCTGTCTTAGCACACACAGTGGAGTCATTCGGAGTCATTCGATGGCCAGAGTGCGATTGTGTGCGTGTGCGGGAGTTGGTTTGACGGGAGGGAGGGGCAGGCTGCTCACCCACGTGCACCGGGCCAGTGCTTGCACTTTGAATGCCGTGGGGGCTCCTGCCCGTGTCCGGGTTGTGGAGATGCGAGGGTCGCCCCCCCTAGGCCCCCCCTTGCCCCACCACTTTGTGTGTGTGGAGAAATTTACTGACCTTACCGTATGGAGGCGCTTATGGAGGCTAATCGACGCTTTCAGATCTCAGGCTTCAGCTCGGCCGCATTTTCATGCTTTTATGGCGATCTCTCTGACCGATAAAAATGTTCTTTTATTGTGTACCCAGCACTCGCCAATCCCATGCCGAAGAGGCAGCGCTTGTCGTCAAAGAGGAAGGCGTCCTCGCCGCCCTTGTCCGCCTTTGCCGGGTGGGGGAGGACGGAGCCGCCCGCCGAGGACGACGTGGAGGCGGCCCGAATGCAGGGCCGGCGCGCTGCACACGGCGAGCAGCATCGGTGGCTGGTTTCGGAGGAGCTTGCAGGCGCTTGTGGAGGCTGATCGACGCTTTCAGATCTGAGGCTCGGGGGGGCTCTTTCCTTTGATTTCAGAAGCAATTTCTAATTCGTTGAATTCTTCTTTTTTGCTCGCCGAGCTTCGATCGCTTCGACCATGCTCTGCTGTTTCTCGAGCGCGCCGGCCGCCGTGCTCCTCGCCCCGTACGACAGGAGTGTGGTGCTGTCGCCGCACGCGCTCACCCAGAGCGGCGGGGGCGGCTGGGCGCCCGCCCGGTTCGGCTTCTCGGGCGGCATCGCGCGGGTCTCGCCGATCGTGCGGCTGGAGCCAGCGCCGCCGGCCGCCTCTCCTCCTCCCGCCGGGGCCGCGGGCAGCGCCGCGGCGGGCGCGGGCGACGCCGGCGCGCCGGCCCACTTCGCCGTCGGCGACCGCGTCCTCGTCACCTTCCCGGGCGAGCCGCCGTTTGAGGCCGTCGTGTGGGCGGTGAGTGGCGACGCATACACGGTGCGGTACTGCTACGACGGCGAGCTCGAGGAGCGGCTCGACCGCGGCCTGCTCTCGGCCTGGCGGCCGGACAGTGGCGCCAAGCGGCTCACCCTCGACGAGCTGATGATCCAGGACCGGCTCGGAGAGGGGACACAGAGCGAGGTGCTGAGCGGCAGCCGGCAGCAGATGCCAAACTTAGCAGCCCCCGCATTCCAGCAGCGACCCGAGGCTCTCGTAGTCGGCAGCCTCCCGCCGGCACTGCGCTCGCGGCCCTCGCATGCACGCGGCGCTCCGAGCTGCCGCATCCCCCACCCTCGCCTCCCCGGCCCCTTTTGTTTCGCCAGGCTACTTGCCCGGCGGCGCGCCTGTGGCGGTCAAGCTGGGGCTGAAGCGGGGCGCAATCTCGCGCGAGGCGGCGGTCCTCTCCGCCCTCTCGGGCCGCGTCGGCTTCCCCCTCCTCCTCCACCACGAGCACGAGGGGTCCGCCACGCCAGGCGCCTTCCGAGACACTTTCGAGACACTTCCGAGACCCTTCCGAGACCCTTTCGAGACCCTTTCGAGACCCTTTCGAGACACCTTTGATACACCGCCACCGCCCGCTCTGCGCTTGCGCGCCAGAGGGAAGACTTCTGCACCAGACGGCTGCTAGCGCCTCGTTGGGCGCCGCCTGGCGGTGCAAAAACCCTTGGGGGGCCCAAAAACCCCCCCCCCCCCCCCTTCCCTCCTCCCAACCCCTCCCCCCCCCTCCTCCCCTCCTCCCCAGGAGGGTGCCTGGTGATGGAGGTGCTCGGACCGTCCCTCGAGGACCTGAGGCGCGGGAAGAGCGGCCGCGCGCGCCTGTCCGGCGCGCCGTTTCTCCGCGTCGGCCGCGGCGTCCTCCGCCTCCTCCGCCGCCTCCACGCCGCCGGGCTCGCCACTCGCCGAACCTCGAGCCGCGTCTCGGGGGTGGAAGCGCGAGCCGTCTCAGACCCCGTGTCGTAGGTCCGTGCACAACGGCCTCAAGCCCCCTTCCAGACCTTTCCTGGACCCTTCCTTGCCCCTTCCTGTAGGTTCGTGCACAACGACCTCAAGCCCGCCAACGTGCTGCTCGGGTCGGGCGCCGAGCTGCAGCCAAAGCCGCTGCACCTGATCGACTTTGGGTCGTGCACTCGGGCCAACGGACGGCGGGGCACGGGCTGCGTCAAGGACACGCCCGCACGACGTGTCCAGGACATGTCCATAGGCTGACGGGCAGCTGGCCGGGAACGAGCCGACAGCGAGCGCTCCTAGATGCCGCAGCGTGCCTTTTGCAGACGCCGCGCCCTCTGCACTCGCCGCCCTCGTACACCCCGAGCGGATGCGGAGAGAGTGCACGGCGGAGAGTACTCGCACACGGCACGAGACCGTCTCCACATGCGCAGCTGCCATCTCCCCATATCTTCCCATATCTCCCCATATCTCCCCATATCTCCCCCGATCTCCCCCGATCTCCCCCTGTCTCCACACCCGCAGCTGCCCGCACCCCGCCCCGCACCCGTGTCCTCAGGCGAGCGGGCCGAGAGGCACCCCCCTCTTCGCGAGCGTCGCCGCTGACGAGGGCACCGCTCCTCCGCCCCGAGCAGCAGCTGTGCGCGCGAGCAGCGCGTCTTGACACCAGCTGTGGCTGTGGCCAGGCCGCGAGCTGATGCGGCCGGTGGACGACGTGGAGAGCCTCGCTTACGCCCTCGCTTTCCTCGGGGCGGGCGGCCTACCGTGGCAGGTGCTCTCTCCCCGTCTCTCCCCATCTCTCCCCATCTCTCCCCATCTCTCCCCATCTCTCCCCATCTCTCCCCATCTCGCCCCATCTCTCTCCATCTCTCGGGGCGGGCGGAGGTGCGCTCGCCCTCGTGCACCAGGCTTTGCGCCTTGGGTGCCGTGCCAGCCCCCGCCTTGTTTGGGTGTGGAGTTGCGAGGGCTGCCTCCCCCCTTCGCCCGAGCACTCTTGTGTGCGTGGAGAGCTTCCGCCGAGCTTGCCCCTCTTGAGCTTGCCCTCCCCCTCTCCGTGTGGCAGGGCAAGCCCGACGAGATCGTGCTCGGCATGAAGCGCGAGCTGATGGCCGGCGCCCTCGGCCGCTCCTCCATCACGGACGCCCTCCGCAGCGACGCCGACGCGGCGGCCCTCGAGGCGCTGTGGGCCGAGGTGCGGCGCTGCCACAGCGGCGAGGCTCAGGTCGACTACGACGCATGCCTGGCCGCCCTTGGCGGCGGGGAGGCGGGCGCGGGCGCGGGCGCGGAGGCGGAGGCGGAGGCGGAGGCGCTCTCCGAGCTCTCCTTCATGGCCGCCTTGGGGGAGCCAGAGGCGGAGGAGGGGAGCGGCGCCGGAGTGCGGTTGGTGCAGCCTCCCGCCTGGGCGCTGCGGAGCCCGGTGGGCATCTGGGGACGTCCCTAGGCGAGAGACGTGCGCCGGGGGGCATCCGTGACCGCGGCACAGCGCATGCGCTACCTCAACAGGCGCCAGTGCCGAGGGCTGTGTGGTGGTTCGGAGGGAGATCTCTGGGGAGGGGCGGTCTGCCATGCGGAGGGTGTGCACACTGAAAGTACGGGATACATGTATCGGAGCGAGTCCGTGGGGTCGCAGAGCGTGTTTTTGTGTGAGTGTCGGTCTAGCAATAATTTGCGGCGACGATGTTTTGGTGTCGACGATATTTGATATTGGTGAACGAGACGCTGTGTCCGCCCGCGGGCGCGCTAGAGTATCATCTTCTCGGATCTCGCTCCGGCGGTCCTCCGGCTTGTGGGTTGTGCAGGGTTGTGCGTGCTGCACGGTCCGCTTCCCCTCTCGATGGACTTTTGTGGGCCAAGTTTACAAGACGCTCATTCTCACACGGACAGAGACCTAGTGCGTACGTCAGTATGCATGTGATCACCCCCGCCGTTGCGACCTGTGCCCGGTCAAGCGTAGAGAAAGGCAGTGTGGCAGTCCCGCTCCCAATATGTCCGTGCATCACTTTTGTGACGGTGTCACAACTTTGATCTGAATCATATCTCGATAACTACACCGGGCGCTCAACGTGCTTTCTTAGCTTGTGCGCGAGCATCTCAGAACATGGCAAGCTCCCGAAGCCGTCCTGGGATGACTACCATCGCGATAGAGTACAGGCCTCGTCAGGTTCTCGCTCATCCACGATCCACCCACCCTCCTCGTAGGGGGAGGGGCATAGCGCCCCCAAATCCGCCAGTGTGTGATTTCGCGCAATCACTTGACTCTGAAAAGCTCGCCTATCCCTGCGGTGAGCGCTGTGATCGCCGCAGACTGGCTCCGACTTGACGGCGGCATGGAGACGTGAGATGCCTCCATGCTGCCGTCAAGTCGAATCGACATGCGAGTCGATCTTTGGCCCGCCAGAGGGATATGCGGCGTTTCGGGCGACAAACAGCGCTGCGACCGCGAAGTGGCGGTGGACATGCTCCCATGTTGCCGACGCGGCGCGCCGGAGTGGCCGGCGCTGCTCGCCGCGACCACGACGGCTACTCTGATACTCCGGGCCGACCCGTCCTACCCGACGGTGGCACTCTTCCACGTCTCGCTCACGCTGAGAAAAATTCTGAAACGCCGTGTGCAGCAGAGTCACCGACGAGTCGGTCCGCGTGCCTCCTCGTGTCCCGTACCGCTCTCACACATCCATAAACTCACTTTGGCCTCACTGAAGCGATGCCTCAATCCTGAATCCTCAGATTTTATATTCATAGGACGCTGTCTACCCCCTACGGTTGGTCTTCGGCGCGTGACGAGGGGGCAGGGCGGGCGCGCAGGAGGCCTTGCCGCCATCGCGTTGCGCGCGAAGGAAAAAGAATCTTGCTTGAGAAGGCGAAGGATCATGTGAGATTGTTGTTGTTGTTGTTGCAAATGTGTGTGCATGCACATGCACATGCACATGCACATGCACATGCACATGCCACATGTCATGTGCACGGTAACCAGGAGGATGTACGAAGAGATTAGGAGCAGCAGGGACCCGAGGGACCATGTGGAAGACGGCTAGTGCTAGTCCCCCATCGGGAGGACGACCCCGGCTAGTCGCCGACCACACCCACAAAGAACCCTGCACAAAGATCGCACGGGCGGGGGCCTGTTCCTTTTTACCCAGTAGAGATAAATAACTAAATAAAACCGGACACCTCTACTGTGAGATGGGTAATAAGGAACAGGTCCCAGCCCGTGTGAGCTTTGTGCAGGGTTCTTTGTGGGTGTGGTTGGCGACTAGCCGGGGTCGTCCTCCCGATGGGGGACTAGCACTAGCCGTCTTCCACATGGTCCCTCGGGGTCCCTGCTGCTCCTAATCTCTTCGTACATCCTCCTGCTGACCTCCGCAAAGTCCTGCTCCCTCCCTCGTCTCGCTCTGCGCGTCTGCTCCGCCTCCACATCGTCTGCCCTGCGTCGTCTGGCGACGGGTCCTCCATAGTCGGTTGAGGTCCCCGCCGCCCTCCTCGTAACCTGGTTTGTGGACCTCCCGCACCTGTCCTGACAGTCCTGACAGAGTCCTGACAGAGTCCTGACAGAGTCCTGACAGAGTCCTGACAGAGTCCTGACAGAGTCCTGGCGGGGTCCTGACGGCGCACGGTCTTCACAGTGCTCACAAGTGCCTCCGACGAGACCTCCACCTTCCTTCACTGCAACCCTCCTTCCCCTCCCCCCCAACAGTGAATGATAGACGCCCAGCCCCCCTTTCGACCGTGCGCGCCCTCTGCGGAATCGTCCTGATGGGGCAGTCCTGACGCAAACTTGAGAGTCCTGACAAGCAAACTTGAGAGTCCTGACAGAAACTTGAGAGTCCTGACAGAAACTTAGAGTCCTGACAGACAAAAGAAATCACGCTCGCTCTCGCGCCACTCGGCTCGACCATGAAAGCGCACAAGCAAGAGAGGCGCGGCCATGGTGCAGGCAACGTTACAGCCGGCAACGTGCAAGAAAGCAGCAGCAAAGCTCGGCCACGACGTCCATGGCCCGCGCCCCCCCGATTTGCCACCGGCGGCCTGCAGGCCAGCGCCGAGCAGCGGACCGACTGCTGACCGACTGCTGACCGACTGCTGACCGAGGCAGCGCCCACGGCAGCGCCCACAGCAGCGCCCACGGCAGCACCCACGGCAGCACCCACGACAGCGCCCACGGCAGCGCACACGGCTTGGCTGGCCATGTCAGCCGCGCAGGGACCCTCCCGCGGGTCCAACCCGAAGCGCTCGACCGCTCGACGGCGCAAGTCGGCTGACGGAGCGAGCCGCATAGCCCTCCAGTGCTCACCGCAGGATCAGGCCCGACCGGCCCACGCTCACGGCCTGGCCTGCCTGTGGACCAGCAAACTCGTTGGCTGTACGCGAGCAAAGAGCTGCGTGGCTGGGTTGTGAGCATACCGTCCCCGTTGCGCCCTTTCCCTCAGTGGAGGGCCGTCCCTGCCCTCGGGAGTAACTCGACTGTACACCCCTCCCTACTCTCTAGCTAAGGGCTCTGTTCACAGCGGGGGGGCAGTGGTTGTCCTGGCGGAGTCCTGGCGGAGTCCTGACAGAGTCCTGACAGAGTCCTGACAGAGTCCTGACGGAGTCCTGACAGAGTCCTGACGGCCTATTTTGGAGGTTTTCAACTTTGAGGTATTGTTACTATGTGAGGGTGAAATGAATGAATCAGTTCTTTGGGACAGTGCAATCCTTTTAATTATTACCTCCAACTCAAAAAAAGTCTGATGTCAAACGGACAACGGGGTCCCTTATGGTGGCCTGTAAGGGTAAGGTGCGGGAGGTCCACAAACCAGCGTGCCTCTTCCCATCGTTCCCTCGGCGGCCGATGCCGTCTGCTCCGGCTCCGCCGTCCCCGTGTCTGCCCTGCTCTCGTCCGCGCTAGCTTCTGTTTCGTCATCACTGGTGGTTCTCCTCTTTTTTCTCCTCTTCTTGTATGCTTTGTACACCGCGTCGATTCCTGTTCGCGTGAGCACCACCCTGAAGCCCGCCCAGCAGCTGAACCGCTCCCTAAGTCGAAGGAGCATCATCAGTCTCACCCACTTCGCTCTCGCTGCCCACTGTCACCGCTCCCTCCCGCTTGAGCCGCCGTCGCGGCCTCGTTCGTCCCACTGGCTGTTGGCCTGTTCCCACGTCCTTAGTAGAGAGGTGTCCGTTTTTATTTATTTATTTGCACGGTAACCACCTCAAAATGCTCTCAAACCTTGCCGCCCACGAGGTGTGCTTCCCCACACCTTCACTGTTCACACCGCCCGCCGCCTCTCGGCTTCCTTCGACGTCTCGGCGGATCTCAGCACTAGCCTGCTGGTCTCCTCCGAGTCGCCGCAGGTGCCGTGCACGTGCGATTCCTCATCGCTCTGGTTCCCCTGCTTGTCCTCGGGAGGGGCTAGGGAAGAGGTTGGGGACTCCGGCGAGCTCCGCTTGCCGTGCTCAAAGATGGCGACGCCAGCCAAGACGATGCCGCTGCCAGCTAGCACGATGGCGGGCACGGGAGCGCCATCTGCTCTTCGTGCGTCCCCAAAAGTTTCGGAGATCCCCGCTGTGTGTATTGGCGCGCAGCTCCTGCCGCTCGTACCCCGGGCAGGCTGCCGCGGATGGAGACGAGCGGGGCCTGGTCGGCGATGGGCCGGCCGGACGCCCCACGTCAGCAGACACGACCTCACCGACAAGTGCCAGCGGAGCTGGCGGACGCAGGTCGTGTGCCGGGAGGTGGTGAGCCCGGGCACTGCGATCAACGAGGCGAAGGCGGAGCCGAGGTTCCGCTTCTACCCGCACGGGCTGACGCCGGCCGCGGAGCTGCTTCCCCTGGCCCAGTTCTCGTCCACCAACGAGTTCTTGCACCAGGCGCAGCGACGGTACACCTCTGGCGTGCACCATGCTAACTGGCTCGACCTTGCCGAGGAGCTTACCGACGAGGCGCTTCGCAGCGGCGGCCGCAAGGCGCCCTCCAAAGGCAACAAGGTCGGGAGACGCAAGAACCACAAATGCTGGCGAGAGGCGATCCGTTTTGTCGCCGTCAGCCAACCAGGGGCCGGCGCCTTCCTCAACGCCATCCCCATGCGTGATGACATGAAGATGGAGTCCTGGGCGATGCGCGTCACCGTCCAGCGCCGCCTTGGGCTCCCCCTTGATGTCGCCTGCCAGGCGGTGGAGGCAGGCAAGAGGGCACCCAGCGGCCAGCTACACGACGTCCTTGGCGACGCCGCGATGGTTAACCCTCGGTCAAAGCATGCTACAAGACACAAATTTCTACTCAAACGTTTGGTCAAATGCCTCCGCTCGGCGTGGGGCACGATCATCGAGATGGAGCCGACCGCACACCTCAGTTACAGTAATCCAAAACAACCTGACGTGGCGGCGGCAAACATCGGCAGGGGGCACAGGCGCCTCGTTGCCGATTTGAAGCTCACGAGCTCGCTTGCGAGCACGGGCAAGGACACGGCCGGCGACGGAGGGCTCGGCTGGAAGGGGGCCTACGTGCGCTTTGGCAACACGGAGACCGGGCTGCTCAAGTTGGTCAAAGGGCGCGGCAAGTGGTCTCCGTCGGAAGCGACGGCAGCGGCGGTGGCGGGAGAGGAGGAGGAGGCCGAGGAGGAGGGGGAGGAGGGGGAGGAGGAGGATGCCCCCAAGGGAAAGCTCACGGAGCAGCCTGGCGATTACCCCTTTGCGCGGCAGCAGGATTGCGATCTACGTTTGTTTGATTTTGAGGCTTTCGGAGGCTTTGGAAAGGAGGTTCGCAGCACCCTGAGGGAGGCGGCGAACCAGCTGAGCAATAAACTTTCGCACGCTCAGCACCTGGACGAGGTCACATGGACCACCAAGAACTGGCACGGGCTGCAGATGCAGCGCTTGTCTGTCGTCCTCCACACCGCCGTGGCGTGGCAGACGGTGAACGAGCTAGCGTGCGGGGAGAGCGGCATTGTGCATGGTGCGGAGTGCATTGCCGTTCTTAACGGAGTCGCTTAGGCGGCTCCGGTGGTGAGCCGGTGTGTGTGCCAGTCCGCGCCAGTCTGCGCCCTTGTCGTGCCAGTGTGCTGTGAGAGAGGCTTGTTCCTTAAGAATTCTTATTTCGCCCCAGCGAGCCGGGCAGCGCCAGCGAGAGAGCAGCCCTTGGAAAACCGATGCCAGGCGAGGGCTCCAGCGCCGCCGACGCCAACCGCGGCTGCGTCACCATGACGCAGCGTGACGCGGAGGTGCCGCGCCGCCCCCGGCCCCCAAGCCTGCGTGAAGATCAAACGCCGCTTGTCGCGCTGCAGCCGCCGTGTGCCCTGCGCGCTGCAGCGTTGTTGTGCCCTGCGCGCTGCAGAGCCGTCGTGCTGCGCGAGGCGCAGACCCGCCCAGCCAGCATTCAAGCCGCCGCCGCGACCGCCCGCACAGGAGCTCAACCAGGAGCTTTCCAAGGCGGCGCTGCGCGGCGGAGACACCTACATATTCGTACCTATCAACACGCCCGGTGCTATGAAGCCCGCCTTCCGGTCAAAGACCCCGTCGGTGCGAGGCCGCGCCCCGCGCCCTGCGCCCGGCCCCGCGCCCCGCGCCCCCGGCTCTCCGCTCGCGCCCGACCGCTCCCCTCCTCCGGCGCGCAGCTCGTCACCAACAGCCAGGGCGGGGTGCCGTCGGGTGCGCGCTCGTCGGGTGGCGTGCGCAGGAGGGACAGCGGCGAGCCGCGCGAGCGAAAGCGCTCCGGCGTGCCGGGGGGCTCAGCGATGGCCGCGCAGGCGCACCGGACCCCGTCTGCGCGCCTCCCCTCGCGCGCGTCCCCTCGGCCACAGCACCTTGCCGCGCCGCCCACAGGCCGGAGGCGGAGGTCAGCCGGTGGGCGCCGTGCACCGCTCGAAGCGGCCAAAGCTGGCGGCGCGGCCCGGCGGCATGAGCCCCAAGCTCAAGCCGGTGCTCAAGCTGCTCAACGAGCTGCTGCGCCACCAGTACGTCGGCCCGTTTGCAGCGCCCGTCGACCCGCGCATCTACCCCTCGTACTACGAGGGGCCGCGCGCGGTCGCGGACCCGATCGACCTCGGGAGCATCAAGAAGAACCTCGAGGCGGGCGCCTACGCCAACGCCGACGCCGTCAAGACGGACGTGGACCGCGTGTGGGCCAACTGCCGCCAGTACAACGGCGAGGAGTCGGAGATTGCGCGGATGGCCGAGACGCTCGAGGGGCTCTTCGACGAGAAGATGGCAACCATCCCGCAGGAGCTGGAGGCGGAGGAGGAGGCGTCGCGGCGCAGGGACGACCAGCGCAAGGACAAGCGCGAGCGCGACCTGCTCAAGCAGATGCAGGACATGCAGCGCCAGATGATGGAGATGCAAAAGCAGCAGCTCGCGATGCAGCAGCAGGGCATGGCGGCGGTGCCGCCGGGCGGGGGCGGGGGCGGAGGCGGAGGCGGAGGCGGCGGGCGCGGGAGCAAGCGGCCGAGGCCGCCGAATCGCGCGATGGTGGAGGCCAAGGAGGCGCCGATCGACCTGTCGCGCGACATGACGTACGAGGAGAAGACGCAGCTCTCGGCGGGCATCAACAAACTCAAGAGCGACAACCTGGGGCGGGTGGTGTCCATCATCCGGGAGAACATGCCCTCGCTCGGCAACGGGACGGACGAGATCGAGGTGGACATCAACGCTCTCGACCGCAAGACGCTGTGGGAGCTGCACCGCTTCGTCAACGCCTGCCTCAAGAAGAAGCCCACCAAGAAGGCGGCGCAGCACACCACCGCCTCGCGCATGCTCGGCGCGCAGCAGGCAAAGGCGCAGACCGAGCAGCGGATCGCGCAGCTGCAGCAGTCGCTCCAAGCCAGCCACGGCGCCGCCTCCTCCGGCGGCGGCGGCGGCATCTCGCTCGCGCGCCAAGACACGGACGACTTTGGCGGCAACGACTCGCCGTCAGACTCGGACTCGGACGGCGGCGGCTCGCCGGGCGGCGGCGGAGGGTACTACGAGCAGTTTGCGCAGTCCAAGGCGCAGAGCGACCGCGAGCAGCAGGAGTCGGAGCGGCGGCGGCAGGACGCCGAGCGCGAGGCGGCGGCCAAGCGGCGGCAAAAGGAGGAGCACGAAAAGGCGCGCATCGAGCGTGAGCGCGCCGCGGCGCGCGCCGCGAACGAGGACGGCGACGGCATCGACATGCTCGGGCAGAGCAACATGATGGCCTCCTTTGCCGACGGGAGCGGCACCTTTGACTTTTCGGGCCTGGATGAGTACGGCGACGACTGACGGAGGCTCGGCCCCCGGAGATCGACCCCCCGCGGCGGCCGGCGGCTGCAGTGTCGCGTGCTGCTGACGCACGCGATGGCGCGCGATGGCGGCGGCGACCCGCCCCCTCCGGCGGCCGGCGGCGAGCGGGCCGTGCGCGCGTGGCGCAGCCGGCCAAGTGTGTTTTGCGCAGAGAGCGACCGCGGTTTTGCCACCACACCCCCTCCTCTTCCACACGACCCTCCACGCCCTCCAGATATGCACCTGCAGTGGGCGTGGGTGCGTCTCGTCGGTGTATCTGTGCCAGTTCCGTTGTGAGTCCCCATGTATGTAGCTTAGACAATAGGTGAGACCCAAGAGTGGAAAAATCACACGGCGCCCGGGCACACGCGGACACGGCAACATACACAGGTCATGCAAAATAAATCCGAGAAATATTCGGCGGTGTACAGCCGTTTTTGCTTGAGAGCCCGCCTTAGCGAAGCGGGAGCGAGGACGCGCTTGTATGGCAACGATTTCAGGCGCATGTCCGGGGCCGGAGAGCGCGACAAGCGGGAGCGGAATGGCAAATCCGGCCTCACGCCCGACAAGACCAAGCGTCCCTCCGTCGGGGGAGCCCGGCTCGGACCAGCCCCGCCGCTCGGGCCGGCTGGCGGCGGCCACGACGACGCCGAATCCGCCGCCGACAGGTTTGGCTAGCTGCCACACAGTAGCGCGGCGCGGCACACCCTGCCGATGGCGCGGGCCCGATGAGGAAGTGGGTGGAGATTGCGAAACGCGCAAAAGGGACACGCGACTCCTAGATCCTGGGCCGAGGTTTGATAAAGTGTCACTTTATCAAAGCCAGCCGCCCCTCCGACCCTCCCCCCCCCTGCCACAGGGGAGCAGACCTCGCGGCCGCCGGAGGGCGCGCACGCGCAAGCATCGAGCAGGGCCCCCCGGAGCCGGGGACCGAGGTCCTGGACGCAGGGATTCGTAGCCCCAGACGCCTTCACTTCGGCACCAGCCCACCAGTCGGATGCCGACGTGGCGCGCCTTTTGGCCGAGGCGAGCCGGCTGGGCTTCTTCCTCAAGCACCAGGACTCGTTCCGGCAGGAGATCGGGCTGCGGATGGCGACGAGCCTGCGGACCCTGGGCGGCCAGTTCCTGTGGCAGACGGCGAGCTTCACTTTCCGCGACTGCCCGCGGGAGGTGCTGAAGGACTTGCCGCCTCCTCTCAAGGCGATCGACCAGCCGCTCTCGCTCCAGTTCAATGCAGACACAATGACGGACGCGGCGGAGCTCGCGCGCCCCTTCTTCACGCTGGTGCCTTCGGTGTGCGGGTTGACGAAGCTGATCACCAAGCCCTCCTCTCCCGCGGCGCAGCAGGCGGCGACGGTGACGGCGCTGACTCTGACATGGGAGAAGCCGAAGACGCGGCACAGCCGGCCGACGCTGACGGTGGACATGCAGTTCGCGCTGTCGACGGAGCACGGGGACCTCCATCCGCCGAAGGACGCGAACCGGCGCGAGTTGGCGCTGGACCCGGCGACGGAGGCGACCTGGCGGCGCATGATCCTCTCCGACATCAAGGCGCACGCGGAGAAGGGGAGAGCCTTGGCGGCGGGCTACTGGCGCCAGATGGGCAACCACAAGATGGCCGCGCAGGTCGACAGCGGCGGGGACGCGAGGGGGGCGCCGCGGCCGGGCAAGCGGAAGGCCGAGAAGGCGCCGGCGGTCCCGCGGCGGAAACTCCTCTGGACCAAGGCGACCCTGTTCGAGGTGGAGGCGATCACGGAGGAGAGGGTGGAGGCGGGCGTGCGGCAGCTCAAGGTCCGGTGGAGCGGCTATCACCCTTCATGGGAGAAGTTCCGGCTCCCGGGGGACGGGGAGGCGGGCGACGCAGTCTCGACCTGGGAGCCGGCGAGCGGGCTGACCAAGACGGACGCGTACAAGGCGTGGGAGGAGCAGCAGTGAGCCCGGCGCCTGCCTGAGCTGGGCTGAGGCTGGTCTGGCTGGCCCTGGCTTCTGGGGCTGGCCTGCCTGCTGCTCTTGCCGTCCGCGCTCTGCCTCCGCGCCGCCCGACCGGCCTGGAGCTGACTCGCCCGTCGCGAGCTCATCGGCTTCGCGGCGCTCCGGATGTAGGTCCGGAACTCGAGCGGCCTCGGGATCGTCGCCGCTCCTCCCGGCGCCCGACTTGGCGCGGCTGGAGGGAGAGCTCGAGTCGGCGCGACGCGATAGAGACAATGCGCGGCGGCAGCGCCAGAGCGAACGCTCGCTCCTCGCAAAGGCACAGGAGCTCATCGCCGAGCTCGAGGCGGAGAACGGCGATCTCCGGCGCGAGAACCGCGAGCTCAGCAGCGTCGTCGGCAAGTACGAGCAGCGCGAGCTCGCGCGCGAGAAGGCAGCGAGTAGGGCTGGGAGGGCACGCGAGCGCCAGGCGGCGGCGGAGCAGATGGCCGCCGCCGCGGTGGAGCGAGAGGCGGAGCGGCTGGCGGAGGAGCTCGAGGAGCGAGACGAACAGCTCGCGGAGGCGAAGGCGGAGCTCGAGGAGGCGCAGGGAGCGGCGGAGGCGGCGGCAGCGGAGGCTCGAGCGGTGAAGTACCAGAAGATGCTCTCGGACCGCAAGCTGCAGCGCGCGCGCGACCGGCTCGACAATGCGGACACGCGGGCCGTGCGCAAGTGCAGCGCGGAGGAGTTCGCGCAGCTCTCGCGCACGGCGCAGAGCACGGAGAACTGGCGCGACCGCAAACTCTGGCGCGAGTTCCTCCCCGAGGGCCGGCGCGACCAACTTGGAGACCATCGGGGCGGGGCAGGCGCAGCGCGGGCCGACGAAGGCGGGCGCGCAGGGGCCGTCGCGGTTGTGCGGCGTGGCGGAGCGGGCGACGACGATGGCTCTGTCCGTCGCGTACCACCTCCTCATCACCAACGCGTTGCGGCGCGGCGATGGCGTGGCCTCCATTCCGACCGAGCGGCGCGCGGAGCGGCTGTTTGGCGACGGGCCGGGACGCTCCAAGCTGGTGCGCCGCGGGATCAAGCTGGAGCATCTGGGAGAGGACTATAGTCCCGAGAAGGACTCGGTTATTGCCGCGATGGTGCGGATTGTGGTGGCACGCGTGCGTCCGGCCGGCGACCCGGAGGCGTAGTGTGTCGGTCAGTACGTCGGTGTGTCGCCTTGTGACCCTTCCTCCCTCCTCCCCACGTGTTATGACCCGGCCTGGGTGGCCGGCGAGGCGGCGTGCGGGTAGCAGAAGGGTCATTTTTATGCCGATGTACACGTTTCGGTGACACTCAGGGCCCGTTTTGCATGACCTGCACGCGACCACACAGCAGACACACCGCACACGCGCCCCTCTCCGGCTCCGCTCTCGCCCCCGGGGGTCACAGATAGCCCCACACAGCCCCTTACCCCTTCACCCTCGCCTCGCTGGTGTTTCTGAACACGTAGACGACCACGCTGTGGGGGTTGTGTTATAGGAGTAGGAGTGGGGTGTGCAGGTTGCTGCGTTGCTCACCCACGGCACCGGGCCGGTGCTTGCACTTTGAATGCCGTGGGGCTCCTGCCCGTGTCCCGGGCGTGGAGATGCGAGGGTCGCCCCCCCTTGCCCCACCACTTTGTGTGTGTGGAGACGTTTACCTTACCTTACCTCTCGCCCCCGGTTGCAGCTAGGCCGCGCAGCGCCAGCGGCCAGCGCGCACCCGCGCCGGCGCCGCGGCGGCGGGCGGCGGCGCCGCCGGGCCACCCCCACCGGCCACCGCGGCACGCCGCCACCGCGCCACCGCGCACCGGGCCCTCGCGCCTCGGGGCCCCTCGCGCCTCGCTCGCCCTCGCCCTCGCCCCTCGCCGTGCCACAGGCACACCCCCGCGGCCACGGGCACGGGGGCACCGCCGCAGGGAGGCGGGCGCTCGTGTGTGTGTGTGGGGGGGGGGGGGGGGGGAGGAGGAGGAGCGGGGGCGGGAGGCACACACCAGGTCACCATGACGACGTACGTGTCGTGCGGCGCCGCAGAGACGGGCTCAAAGTCGAGCTTGACGAGGCCTCCTCGCAGCGGCGGGTCGGTCCGCGCGACGATGCCGTCGTGCGTCAGTCGCAGCGCGTCCCTGTCTCTCTTGGAGAGGGAGAGGCCGGCCACCGCTCCGTCGTTGTCGACGCCGAGGTAGAGCCGCCCGCCTCCGCCGTTGGCAAAGCCGCACACGCACGCCTCGTACTTGGCTCTGCCCCGCGGGCAGGAGGCGAGCAGGTTGCCGCGCTTGAACTCGTGCCGCCGGTCCTCGTCGCCGAGCACATCGCCGAGCGCCCACGTGCCGGCGGTCGGCCAGCTGCTCGCGGAGCCGGCGCTGGCCAGCCCACGAGCGCGGGCCAGCGAGGACTGTCGGGCTATCGAGGCGAGCGGGCTCGGGCGCGAGTGGTGGTCGCGCCCGAGGCTCACCTTGCCCGACATGAGCTCGCGCAGCGTCGGCGGTCGGCGGCGCGGATGCGGGCCGCTCTGCGTGGGCTTGCCCAGCGCGATGAGCTCGTCGAGCGACATGTCCAACCTTGCACGCGCAGCCTCCTTGAGCGCCTGCACGGTGGAGCGATCCACGTACCGCCGACTCGACTTCCACGCCGCCTTGAACTCGTCGAGCGAGAGATCGAGGCACGCCGGATAGGAGAGGGCGGCCGCGACCCCGTCGTTGTTGTCGAGGGCCGCGCCGTCGTTGTCGGTGTGCATATGTATGTCCATGGCTCGGGGGCGAAAGCACAAAACTGTGAAACCGACGACCGAGTCGGGCGAGGCGGCGTCGGCTGCCGCTGAGCTGAAGATGGCCACCCAGTCGGCCGCCTTCGGGCTGCCTTGTACCTAGGTACTCGAGTAGACTCCCTAGGGTGGGCGACGGCTAGCGCATCACACACCTCTCCTTAAAATCCCTGTGTGGTGGCGGCGTGCCGTCCTCCCATCCCTCCCTTGGGTTGTCCGTGTTTTTTTCTTTCTTTCTTTTGCCCTTGTACCGGGTACAGGACGGCCTGGCGAGGGCGATGCGGAGGGGGAGCGAGGTGAGAGGAGCGGACACCGCCCCCGCCCCCGCCCCCGCTCCCAAGCGCCCCTTCCCCGGTAGATGTGCGTAGAAAGTGGAACCAATCGAGAGGTGGCAGAAGCCGCCGTGTGTGACACATATTGCGGCACGTGAGTGAGACAGAGCCCCGGCGCGCGCGCGCAGCGCAACAGGCGTTTTTTATGTGCAAACAGCAAACGGGACGGCCTGCGCAGCCTCTAACTATGGTCCCTCTTGACTGCCCATGCGCGCGAGGCTGTGTAGGCATAGCCTCGAGAGTGCCAGCAGCCAATCCGAGGCAGTTTGTGACGCGCATTGCGTCAGAAGCGTGCACGCGCTGGAAGGACACCTTCCTACTGGCCGTACGATCAGGTCGTCACTGAATGCCGAAGACTAAGGCCGCGAGCTATGCAGGCGGTCAGTTGAGCAGCATGGCACGGTCAGCAGCGCCGAAAGGATGTCGCAAGGGGTGATAGCATGGCCGCAAGTACGCCGAATTCCCATGAAACAAGTAAAAAATCGCGCGAAAAAAAATGCTAAAAAAATCTTAAGGCCCTTTCCCTGCGAACGCGTACCCCCGGGGCTAGGGCTCTCTAGCCCGTAACCCGACACCGATCATCCGGCTCGCTGGGTGTTCTTAGCTCCCCGGCTCTGGATGTGAGGTTGATAACTGCACTCCAAGTCGCAAGTGCTCCAAATCGGCGCCTGCGGCGGGCTGGGGGACCCCATCTCCCCCCCGCATGGGTACCCCCTAGGGCCCTCGCCTCCCCCCAGAGGCATTCAGGCGTCTAAAGAAGACGACATGAATGGTCACAGAGAATGTGTGTTCCAGACAGACCTTTGGCGTTATTGGAAAAAGAAATCGTGATTAGATTGGAGACGGAGGCAGGCAAAGAGAGAGAAGAAAAACGTGAAGCAAGATGGCCTCCGCCTGGCCAGTTCTGCTCCTGCTCGCGGCCTCCGTCACCCTCGCTGGTGGAGGCGCGGCGCGGGCGGAGAGCGTCACCAGGCCCGCCGGCGTGCGGCTCGCCTTTATCGAGCTGCAGGCCGGCGGTCGCAGCACGCCGTCGTCGCCGCGGCGCAGGCTCATCTTTGCCGTCCCGCCGCTCTCGGGCCTGCAGGAGCCCCTCTTCGACCTGCTGCTGAGCCGCGCGCTGCTGGGCGCCTGCATCGACCGCTCCGTGCTCGGCCGCGCCGGTCTGGGCACCCGGCCGCTGCGGCGCGAGGTTGCCTTCCCGGCGGCCTCTGCGCTCGCGACGGCAGGGCCGGACGGTGGCAGCCAGACTGCCTCCGAGTGGTGGGCGCCTCGGCTGGCTGCGCCCGAGCCGCAGTGGGAGTCGCTGCGCCACGCGACCCTCGCGCGCGAGGCCGGCTCCCCCGTCGACGACGCGGGTAACGCCACGCAGCCTGCGATGATGCTGTTTTTCCACCTGCGCAGCGCCGAGGGCGGCCTGGCGGGCGCGTCCGTTGCGCACGCCAACCTGTCGGCGTCGGAGCTGGACGAGGCGCGGCCGGGCGTCGGCATCGGCGCGCTGATCGCGGGCCACCGCGAGCTCGCCGACCTGCAGCACTCCCTGCTCAGCCGCCGCTCGACAAAGCCGTGCGGCGCGCACATCGCAGAGACGGGCGAGCTGATTGTGCCTGCCGATCCGGTGGACCCGAGCTCGAAGCCGCGCAGCTTCGCGTCGCTGCTGCCGTCGCGCGAGGAGCTGGAGGACGAGCCGCGGCTCGCCCTCCCGCTCGGCCGCCCCATCACCACCCACCACGTCTTTTCCCCGGCGAGCGCCGCGGACTGGAGAAAGGCGGCGCCCGACGCGCTGCACGCGCAGGCCGACTCGGACGTCTACCAGTTCCAAGTGGCGACGGCGGGCGTGCCGCGCGGGCAGAAGCTGCTGCTGGGCGTGCTCGCGCACGACAACGGCCAGCCCGCCCTCCTCCTTTCGTACACAACCGCCAAGGGCAGCTTTGAGGAGGCGCACTGGGCGCTGCCCGTCGAGTGCGGCTCTGACATTTGCTCCTACCAGAGACTCGTTGTGGAGGCGAGCGCGCGCGCACCGCGTCGCGGCGGAGCGCCGCCCCCGCCGCGCGCGCCCGACGACCGACCGCGCCCCGCGCCGCAGGAGACGCACGCCGCGCCGCTGCTGCTGTCGCTGCGCTCCGTCTCGATGTCACACTCTTCGGACCGGCTCCGCTTCACCGTCCACTCGCAGCCGCTCGTCGTGACGCGCCTCAAGCCGGGCGAGCCAAGGCGGGTGACGGTCGAGGGCGGCGCGCCGCCGCGCACCGCCGCCACCGCCGCCGCTTCCGTCGAGCACATGCTCCCGACGATGTACTTTTACTCCGTCCGGGTGCCGGCGCTGCACGAGCTGCTGCTGCGCGTCGAGGCGAGCCAGCCGGTGCTCCTCACCGCCTCGACCGAGGGGCTCGTCTCGCTGGTGAGCTCGAGCCCGCGCCTGCTCGCGGAGGGGTTCCCGGGCACGCCCGCCGAGCTGCTGATGCGCTCGACCGAGAGCGAGCACACGGTGCACGTCGGCATCACCCTTCTCTCGCCGCCGGACGGGTTTGAGATTTCGGCCGCGCTCGAGGAGGCGCCGGTGCCGCCGCCGCAGGACATCTCGGAGCTGGCGATGGAGCTGGAGGCGACGGGCGTCCTCGACGGGCTCACCTCTTCGGAGCGCGCCTCCATCATCCAGCAGGTGCACGCGGAAGAGGTCGCGCTCGGTCACCTCTCTCTGCCGCAGCTCGCGCCGCAGCTGCGCGCCGAGATGCAGAGGGGCGAGAGGCTGCCGTCGCTGAGCTTCAGCAGGCATGAGGAGGACGGCGGCGGGCTGTTTGGCGTCAACTCGCTGCTGCTGCTCGCGATCGTGCTGCTCGTCGCCGGCTCGGTGCTGCTCGCGACCCTCCATTTCATGGTCAAGGTGGACAACGAGGTTGCGGCGGCGACGGCGTCGTCCCTCTACCCTCAGTACGTCAAGCGAAAGGACGGCCGCTCCAGAGGGTCGCAAAAGGGCGGCGGGGTCGGAGGCGCTTCGGCCGGCAAGCACGCTGCGACGCTGCCGGCCGCGCTCTCGTCGCCCGTCGCGTCGGGGAAGGCCGAGCTGCGCAGGCGACGTGGCACCGAGCCCAACGGCAACGCGGCAAGGGCGGCCGCCGGCGCAGCTGCCGAGGCGGCGGCCGGGCAGCGGAAGGGTGGCAAACCGGCCAAGGACAAGGGCGGCGCTGCACCCGCACCCGCACCCGCACCCGCACCCGCCGCCTCGACGGGCGCGGCCAGGCCGGACAAGGCGGGCACCAAGAAGGAGAAGGCTTCTCGAACCGCCCCGCCGGCGAGCGCCCCGCCGGCGCCCAAGGCGGACAAGGCGGCCTCCAAGGCGGAGGCGAGGCTACCCGCGGCGAGCCCAGTGGCCTCCGCGGCGGAGGGCTCCAACGCCGGCGTTGCGCCCAAGAGGCGCGGCGGCGGCGGCGGTGGTGGCGGCGGCGGCAGCTCCTCCAACATTCCCACGCCAGCCGTCAGCGAGGCGCCGGCAAACTCATGCCGCTCCGAGGTGTCGACCAGCGGCGGCCGCGGCGACAGCCGTCCCCTGTCCACCGACCGGGAGCGGGAGCGGAACCGGCGCGGGGCGGCCGCGGCGGCCGGCGGCAACGGCCAGCACGACGCGGGTGCGCGGCCGGCCGAGCTGGGCCCGCGAGTGTGGGTCGCTCCGCTGACGGCGGCGGCGCTCGATCACGAGCGAGAGCTGCGCGCGTCCTTCTCGCAGTGGGGCGTCGTCAGCGCGGTCAAGGTCAAGGTGGAAGGCAGCCGCGCCTCGCCCGGCTACGGCTTTGTCTACTTCAAGGAGGAGGCGGCGGTGAGGGCGCTGCTCGCTCACATTGACGCGGGCGGCGACCCGCCCGCCTTTCTCGGCCGCTCGCTGCTCGTGCGGGAAGCCGTCTACAAGACGACGCCGCAGCCGAGTGATGCGCCCGCCTCCGGGCCGACCAAGCCGGACGCTGCGAGCCCCGCCTCGTCGCGCGCCTCCGCTGATCGGGCCGCCCCCGCCGCCGCTCCGGACGGCGCGGCGCGGCGCGGCGGCAGCAGCTGGAGCGATTGCGTGCGCAGCAGCGGCAGCTCCGCGCCCGCCCTCTCGTCGCTGCCTCGGCTGGCGGTGGGCGACGGGGTGGCCAACGGCGGGCCGACTGCCCACGCCGCCAACCCGTGGGAGGCGGGCGTCGCTGCGGGCGGCTTGCCGAGGCCGCACGGCTGCGCCGATCGGCTGCCTGGCGCGCTGCCAAGCGCTGTCCGCGCGACCCCGCTCGACGACCTGCTCGACCCGTTCGTCGCCACCGGCGGCGCCCAGCCGTCGTTCGACGAGCTGGGCTCGTCGATGCTGCGCGAGCTCCTCGACTCGCCTTCCCCGCCGCCTTTGCCGATGCAGCAGCCCGCGCCCCCGGCGAGGGTGCGCGCCTCTCCCCCCCTCCGCCCGACTGCGCGGCGCCCCCCTCGCGGGCCGTGCCAGCCCCGACCGCGCCCTCCCCCGGGCCGTGCGTCCCCTCTCACCCGTGCGTGCCTTGCCCACCCGCCTTGCCAGGTTCGCGCGGCGTCGTGGGGCGACAGCCCCGCCGCGTCGCCGTGGTCGCCGCCCGCGCCGTTCGTTGGGGGCGCCGCTGCTTTCGGCCACGCGGACCCGCTCGGCCACCCGCGCGGGCAGGACATGGCGACCGGGCTGCCTCCCCTGGGGGTACCAAGCCCCGCCGGCGCTTCGGGCACGTCTTGCTCGCCGTGGTGGCAGAGCGGAGGCAACCTTTCGTTGGGCGGGCTGCCGGCGCCCGCACTGGCCGACTGGGGCGGCTTCGGCCTCACCTCGGGCGGCGCCGTCGACGACGATAGCAAGCGGCGCGTGGGCCTCGGTGCAACCGGCTCTGCCTGAGTTTGACGAGCGGCGCCGGCGGCGCGGGAGCATCCTTCGGTGCATAACTCCCACGCCACTTCCCTTCCCGGTTGGCCCGCCGCGAAGATGCAGTCCGTCTGTCTTCAAGACGGATGCCGCTCCTCCCAGCGATTTGCCGCGCGCTCCTGCCTGTTCAGAGTTTTTCCCCTACGGCCTGCGCTACCGTGTCGCGACTCCACGTTAGCGCTGGAGCTTTCTTTCCTCATTTGGGACACACACACATCTCGCCGCCCCCGAACGCCGAAGCCCGCGCGCCCGCCCCCCCGCCGCGCGGGCGCGCGGCGGGCGCGGGCGCCCGCCGCGCCGGCCGCGCCCGAGTGCCGAGTCCCGAGACGGAAAAGAAGTGCCGCGCACACACACACACAT